AAGGCATGTTGAAAACCTGCCAGATCTATGGAGGAATTGTTGCATGTGAAAGTCCTCCATGCCTCTTACGGTTTTGTCCATTTTAACTTACTCTAATAGTGAAGTCAGGATTAGATCTGGGTCTAGGTTTTTCCTGCTTAATGCCCTAGTACAAGATTTTGCCACATATTTTAAGCAGCACAATATAAGAAGGCTTTATTCAACGTGCATATAGGTAGCATAATCTGAAAGTAAGCTTTTTCATTGTTATGTATTATTTTATTCAGTTCTGAAAATAGTGGTTATCTCTTTATGAACAATCTTCTTTTCACCCAGTGATGGGTTATTTCAAATATCAGGGTGTTAATGTATGAGCATGTCATATACAGAATTACATCATGGTTTACTGTGCCTCATTACACAAGACATGAAAGAACTCCTTCATGCTGGTGCCCCAAGTAAGAGCGTGTGCTCTTCAGGGGTGTTGGGGGAAGTCACACACCAGCTGACCCTGCTTCTGGCACACCAGCGAGTATAGCTTTCCTATAGGGCAGGCGAGGGACCAGGAAAAAACTGTGGTTTTCTAAGAAAGAATAAAGTTGTGGTTTTGACCAAGTGTCCTTGAAGAGTGAAAAGTCAGTGAGTGCCCTTGAAGCAGGAGAAGTCACTGAGTAAAGGCAGAGGAAGCGTATCCCTAGGGTGTTAGTCATGCACAAAAGAGAAAATAGCACTGATGTATATGTGCATTGACAATACAAGCCTGGTCCTGTAGGTCATCTTTTGGAGTTGAATGATAAAATCAAAATCTCAGCTTTTCTTCTTTTCTGGCCTTCCTGACAGAAGTCAAAAATTGAAAATGGGACACCAGTGGTACCAGTGTACACACCAATACCTGTGAGTGTGCAGGCAACGTTGTCATCACTCTGAACTTTTCTTAAATTAGTATCCCGCTGCTGTGGGGTAACTTGTCACTGTCCTCTTATCACCAAATTCCATTTTTGCGACTCTTTACTACATGGAGGCTCATTTGGTGATATTGTCAGCCATTCTTCTTCCTTGCCTCACTCCACGTGCATAAAGTCCCTCCCATGATTAGTTTTTTTTTTCCATGAACACCAGAGTGAAGGTTCAGACAGTGGGGGCCCATTTTGTAGAAAAGTTCTCCTGTCTTCCCAGCCAAGGGGACCTTATAGAGAAAGGGTTAGAGATAAAAATAACACCACGCCAACAGATTTTTGGAGACTGCCTCTACTACTGCTGCTGTGAAAAGAAGTGGGATCAAAGCACTGCGATCACACTTCAAGGAGAAGGCTTGTGAAGGATAGCTGGGCCGTTTTGTAGCTTAATCGGATATTTGCCTTGGAGTCTAAACTGTTCTGCGGTTGTCTAGTACACGACAGCAAAAGCAGACAATGGAAGATCAAGAAATCTATTCCTAGGTAAGAGAGGTCTCTGGTGCGGGGTTTTCGGAGACTGCAGAAGATTGTGAGAGACTGCTAACAATTACCGCCAAGGATGAATAAGACATGTTTTTCAAATGTTAATGATTACATTGCATAGCTAGCCTGCATATTTTCATAACACGTTTGCCCACAGGTTTAAATAATATAAATGGAAATTTTTTTAACGTGTTTCATGAATGTACCTCTAAGTTATGTCCAGCAGAAGGGGCAGTGTTGTTGGTCTAAATGGTAGTATTATAGATCCTGTGACTCCCAGTAATTATGATGCTACCTTTGGAGTCTGGTGGGGTTAGTATGGGATATTTAGCAGACACAAAAATCCAAGTTTCTTTTAGCTGAAAGACTAACAAAAAATGGACAATATTCACGTATAGATGTTCTCCTGCAGTACAAAAAGGTGTTGGAGGATAGTATTTCTTCTGTGTTTGTTATTGAAGTACTTATTTGAAGACTAATTAAGGCAATTTTAAAGGTTTTTTTTGTTCTTACACTTACTACTCTGTTGATGTCATACTCCTTGTCTTGTGATATCATCTTCACTACTGTAACCAAACTGTTACATATATATATAAACCCTTCTACAGTTCAACAGAGTTGAAGTCAGCAGACAACACGGAGGAATGTAATTAAAAATTCTCAATAATATATTAAAAATAGATAATTAACTACAATTATTGTATGCCTGATGGAAGTTTTCATAAAACCCAAGTTTTTATTGCCTCTTTAAAACAAGCCTATAAGAAGCTTCATGAAACATAGACCTTGAATATAAAAAGTTACTACCTTGCAGCTATATTAATGCAATGTCTGCAATATTACGTTACTTTGTTTCCAGAGATAATCAATGATGGTAATATAATATCTGCCTCTCAGAGCCAGTGTATGATTTAAATTAATTATTGCTTATAAAGCACTTCGAAGTCTTTATCAGAAAGGTGTTGCATAAGTATAAAAGTACTATTATTAATTTAACATCACCATTAGAGTAAAGTCGGTACTTTAGGAGCATTTGCTATACTCTGCTCAATATCTTTTTATTCATCATATGCTGTGTATTAGTTATTTTAACATTTAGAAAGCTTAGTAATCTGGAAGTATTCCAAACCATTGTTCCAGACAGCAGTTAGATATTTGGGTGGATCATGTAAAAACAGTGAAATGGCTGAGAAAGCATGTAAAATGTTTGTTTTCAGTAATATTACATCAATAGAACAGACATCTGCAGCACTGGACGTGGTTTTAAACTTCTTTAAGCTTTTTTTTTAAATTAGCATTGCACTATGTTTTTCTAAAACTGATTTGGGGAGAGCTAATATATAATTTCTAAACAAGTATATTGTTTTACCTCTTGTTCAATTTTCATTTCTCTTTCTCAAATATGTGTAGGAAATCAGATTTACAGTGGACAGGTCTTAGGAAGCAGTGAACACCTGCCACTCAATACCATTGTTGCTGTTTGGTTCTGTAACCTAGTGTCAACTATCAGTGTCTGTATTGTGTATTTTAATTGACATTCATGTTATCTCTTATATAAGACTGTTTTAAAATATGAGCAGTTATCGGCCTTGGATATTATAGCCTCAGAAAAAAAGTATAGAATCACTCTGTTGTATAGTAATTATGCACTATAAAATAATGCTGCATGTTTACACAGTTGTTATCTGTAGGGTTAAATTCTAAATTGTCCCAAATGGAGAAAATGAAATGTTAGGAACCCTGTCCTCCATCTTTCCCAGTAGCATTGTCTTGCATTTGTACTTAGCTTTAGAGTTCAGCACAAGGACCACTGGCTTTGGACCCAGTTGTATGACTGGGTAAAACGTCTTTAAAGTTAGAATTCATGGTCCAACCACGCTCCCCATCCCCACAAAGGCAGGTGGGAAGAACTATTAGATGAATAACAGATCTGTCTTTGGGAACAGTGTAAGCTGATGCCCTAGCTTTCTGAAGGCAATATTAATTTAAAAGCCAAATGTGTGAGTAAATCGATTAAAAGATTCACCTGTAAGCAGTTTGCGAAGTCAGCACTGAGGAAGTTCGATTTTCACCACATAATTGAAAATGAGGATATTAATTACTGGTAATATTTTTTGAGTCTTCTCCTTGTGGTAGACATTTTATTTAAAAATACTACTTGCCCTACTAGGATTAGATGAATCCTCTCTAGGTAACTGGAAATTAATTTTCCTCTTTTCTTTGAATTTATTCTACATTCTGAGATGAATTTAATATGTGCTGCAAATGAATTAAGCATTGAACCCTTAGATTTCTCTTGGGATTACTAAATCGGTTAACAAACAGGTTTATCAACCCTAGGATGAAATGCCATATGGTTCAGGTTCACCTGTGTTATTTTCAGATATATGCTAGAAAATTAAAGTATGCTATTCATATGAAGTTACACATTTCAAGCTCATTTTTCAATTTATTAATAATAAGAAAGAGGTTTTCCTCATGTATCAGCAAACTGAGTGCTCACGTTTCCAACAAATGCTTTATCATATATGAAAACTTGCCAACTTCACCCTTAATTCTGAACATTTCCATGCATGGGAATATCAGCAAAACTGATCAAGCATGTACTCCTGTTTTCAAGCAGGCTTAGGGTTGAGATGTTTCCTAAAAATATGTTAAGGATTATGAAATGTAGATGAATTATCACTAATTTACATGTCACTGGAAATATTTAAAGTTAATTCACATAAATAAATTGAGATATTTTTATTGCTTACTCTAAATTCTGTTGATATTAATGATGACACGTCCACGCTTTCCTTGTCCAGTGTAAATGTTGTCCAAGGCAGGTACCTATTTGCAAACTATAGGATGCCCTATGTGAAGCTAAATTAATAAACAGATAAATGCCTCTTTACTGAAGAGCAGTCAGTCACCTCAGGGTCATTAGTGCGGTAACAGTGTGGCAGCAGGGCAGTTTGAGGTTAATTCAGCAGAGGCTTTAAGCCAGCGTGTGAGGCAGTGCTGCTGCTGCCCCTTCTCTTGCCTCCAGCGGCTCGTTCTCGTGAGCATCGCCGCGTGGTCCTCCTACAGGTGCTGGCGCTGGCACAGCCCGTAGAGCAGCTGGAGAGTACAAACAGCAGCTGCAGGTGGGAGAGAAAAGAACTGCTTCGGGTGGCGACAGTGCTGACACAGGCTAGTTTCAGTTATTTGGGAAATAGCAGCCTAAATTACTGTGTCAGGTAGGAGGCAGAAGATGGCAGTGAAATAATGATCGTGCTACTATTTTGAAGTAGCAGCTGTTCCTTGTGGCTTGTACATCTCCAAACCATATTTGCTCACGTTGTGTATTCCGTACTAGGCAGTTTTAAAGTCCAGGTTTGTACCATCTTACAAAGAGGGGTGGGAAGAGGAAGAAGAGGGACACCTCAGACCTGCTCTGTTTCTAAATAAATTACGCGATTTCATTTAAGGTTACTGTGACAAAAAGATGCTGCTTTTAAAAGCTTATTGTGTTTTCCACTGCAAAGCATGTTGGTGAAAACAGTCTGCATGTCAAACCCATTCTAGAGTAATGAGAATGATCTTTGCTTTTACTTCCAGCACCAAAGGGAATACTCCATCTCTCTCCTGATGTTTATCAAGAGATGGAAGCGAGCCGCAACAAATCAGCCCCTGGTACCACTGTAAGCTATTTGTCGCCCAAAGAAATGAGCCAGACTTCTAGCTCTTTCTTCAGCATATCTCCTACAACAAATAGCACAGCTACGATTGCCAGGGAACTTCTCATGAATGGAACGTCCCCAACTGCCGAAGCCATAGGTCTAAAAGGAATATCTCCCGCTTCCCCCTGTTCTGCAGTGCAGCCTTCAAAACAGCTGGAGTATTTGGCAAGGATTCAAGGCTTTCAGGTATGGGAGGGGGAAAATGAAGCTCTTCAGCCAGAATCATAGCATTGCCATCAAGCTTTCACTCTTGCCCTCTTGAATGTGGGCATGCATGTAACTTATCTTGTACGATTAGCTGGTGTCCAAGGCAGTTTCTGGGTCCAGGAGATACAACCCTGCACCAAGATTCATGTCCCTCCTTTTTTATTTTGTTCCTTCCTTCCATTCACCTTACTGCAGGCCATCTTTCTCTCCTTTGTTTATTTTCCTTAAACGATTACAGGCTTAAATTATGCTTTTTACTTGCACTTCTTTGAGAGTCTTCACCTCTTGGCATTAGAAGCTTTCCATACTGCTCTGGCCTTGGTTTTAATCTTTGACTCTGATCCAGAAGGTACTGACGCCCCACCTTACCTTTGCGCTTGTCTTCTGGGCCGGGTCGTTAAAGCCGTTCCTCTGCTCCCCACCCTGCACCTCTTAGTTGTAACCCGTAGAACCACGTTTTCATCGCAGGGTGCAGCCTAGGAGCAGACCTGGTGTCAGAAAATGTTTTTGGCATCACAGTCAGTACTAGAGAATGTAAGATGTACTTCACTGGGTCAGCGCGTGAGTCCTTCAGCACTGACGACCTGTGTCCAGCAAACACCCTACGTTCCATAGGACAGTGACAGCCTCTGTAGTTCATCCAGTCATTTCTGCAGTGTGGAAGATGGGAAAAGGAAGCCTCTTCCCGGTCACCATTACATGCAAAATTACACACATATATGCATACTAGCTCATTTTACTGTGTTGCACCATCAGAGGGTAGGACCAGCTATGTAGAAATACTCTTTTTCCTGTTGTAGGTGTTTGTTTTGGGGTGTTTTTTTCCTTTTCAGAGTTGTGAATTTGTTTCATTTGAAAAGTTGGTTTCATATGTTCTAGTATATGTAATTTGATCATGTAACTAAATTTTGGAAACGGGAGGTTTTTGTTAGAATTTTTGCATGCTTGATAATGATTTTTTTCATCAAAGCCCATGTAATTTACAAAGTATGCAGTTGTTGGAAGTGATTTAAAAGAGGCTGCTAGAATTCAAGAAATAGTGTCAGATGTTCTGTTGGCATAAGCAGTGTAGTTAAATTACATTTGCGTGCATCAGATATCACCAGTTGTGGATTTGACCTAACACTGTTTCTGTCTGAAATGTACATTCGGCTTCCTTTTGGCCTTCATTTTTAAAGTGTCATTTTTGATTCGTCAGCTTGAATGTCTCTTAATGCAAGAAAACGGTAAAAGCATAAGGCTCGCCGTAGCAGAGTTAAGCTGCTAGTAGGAATTCAGTTTTCCTGAGTTCCGTTTGTTTGTTACCTGCAGTAGAAACAGATGAATTCTGATGAAAAGAAATTCAATCCCTGAAGTTTTCACTGCTCGCTTCCACATCTTGTCAGATGGCTTGTGTCTGCTAGTAACTTTATTTTCATAGAACTGATACACACTTTATGTTACTGTTTTGATTCCTACTTGCCTGTAAAATGATTAGTTGTGTTTGTCCTGGTTTTGTTTTTTTTTTTTCTTGCTTTGATTCTAGATGCTTATGTAGAAATTGTTTTTAAAGTGTCTTACCTTGAGCCAAAAAATGTAATTCGTTTCATTCGTAAACTAGACTACTACTTTTTACTTGGCCCTGATACAAACAAAGGAATTTGGTAGAGAATCTCGATTCTTGGCATCTATTTGCTGTGTATGTAACTGATGGTTTTACATCATCTTAGCATGCTTTTTAACACCTCGCTGGAATAAGCCTGGTATTGATGTGAAACTCTGCCACTGCTGGGTGGCTGAGCCGAGGTGGAGCAGTGAACAGAATCTCTGTGGGAAATGGCTCAGTGGCCTGTCAGGTGCATATCACAGGTCTCTTCACCATTTCAGCCTAGAAAGCTCTTTGTGTTTAAGAGTTTAAAAGCCGATTTCTTTACAGGTTAACTTTCTCAGGCATATTTACTAAGTAGAAAACTACTGCGTTTGCAAACAGCTAGCTTGTTTCATGTTTCCTGAATGACCCAAAATGATTTTTAAATTGTTAGCATGTATTTGTATTCTGGTCCGGATGATAACCATAGTTTTTGTCTTTCATTGAAGAACGTATGCATTCTGTTCTGTTACAATGTATTTTTGAATTTTTACAAAAATCAATAAATACTCATATGATGTTTCATTTGTAAATGTAAAAAAAATGTTATTTGCTTATTTGAATGGGTTTTTTTGAACTTCTTTAGCTGCAGGGGATATGTCTCTAAAATGTGGTTATTAAATTTAAGTTCTAAACTGTTTGTACATGATCTCAGCCATGTTCTGTTGTAAGCCCTTGATACTAAGAATTATTTGGACTATTGTGTGGAAAAGTACTAAAAAAAATACATTTTTATGGTTTATAGCTTATTATTCTAAAGGCATTTGTAATTGATAAGCAGCAGCTCAGTGTCACTGAGAAACAGGTGTTTAGCTTTGACACTTCCAAGACTCAGGCTTCAAATTACTAGTGATAATTAAACACAAATACTTCAAGCAAGCCCTTTACAAATTTTGAATAAAGCATTTCTAGTGCTTGCTTCATATTTATGAATACGACCTACCAGTTAATTGTTCTGCAGACTTTGCCCGGAGATTGTTTAAAGGAAAATCCAGCTTTGGTAAAATTGTTATTTTTAAGTGACTCTGTGGTATTTTGGCCATTGTTTTGTAACTAGATTAGGAAAGTTACAGTTATTTTTGCTGACCGTTTAAGTGCAGTAAATTATTCAGAGGGTTTGTTTAAATGGAAACATTTAGAGAAGCTGTTTCCACATGAATAATTTGAGCCTCCAGATTTTACTGAGGCGAAACACAAGGTGCAGGTAGTCCAGTAGGAAATTCCCCTGGGAGTTTCCATGAAGCAAAGACCATAAAATTTAAAAAGCCGTGATTGAGTGCACGCAGTCACTCCCGGTGCGTGGCGGCAGCCGTACTTGGCTTGCTGCTTTGGCAGGACTTGGCGATCTTAACTTTTTCTCCATCATGGCTACATAATAAAACCTCACACAGGATATAGTTCCTACGTGAAGTATTCCTTTGATTGCAATGGTTACACAATTTGGTTTTTTCCTCCTCCGCATTTGTTTAGTGGTTAACTGTTCCCTTTTATACATTGATAGATTTAATTTTTATTGTTGATTCTAAATGTTTCTCATTTCCCCAAGCAATACCAAAGGCATACATTTGTGAGTGACTGTTCACACAGGAGAAGTCCCGCTGAACGCTCTAGAGTCAGGTTTACTCGTGGCATCTACATTTCAGCGTGTGGCTTGGAATTGAGCTGGGCTTAGGCAAAAATTCCACACTTTGTATGAGGGTTGACACCAAGCTCAGACCTTTCCCAATGGGGGCTTTAAGCAAAACAAACGCTCGTTTTGCCTTGTTGGAGGTTGTACTTGGAAACTGGTCTTGGAGGGCTTGGATCACTACTGAGATACTTATGTGAGGAAAATTTCAGTGAAACTCAACCCTCAGTGTTTTTCAAGGAAAGAGCTGTAGTTTTGGTCTGATCTGTATGTAATTGCAAATTTCTCAGGAGCAAGTCAAACTTCAAAAAGCACCTAAATACCATTTTCAGAATTGTCACGGGCACTACAGATGATAATAGCAAGTCATTTTGAGGTGTAACATCATCTCAAAAGGTAGATGCTTCTTGGGATTTCCATAAACACCTGTGCAGATTAAGTCCTGGCTTCTAGTTCACTTGTAAGCCGGGGCACCCTACATAGTGTTTTGCAAATTTGGGTTGTTGCCTCACGCTGTGAAGTCAGTCATACCTTTGAGACTGAGGCCCTGTACTGTGTTGTCGGATGCAGACAGGTCCTCATGTGCTGTGGGTTGTCAGTCTGGTGTGATTGATAATGGTACTTTGCTCAAGGTGTGCTCAACGCTAGTGCTGGAGGATGTAGTCACGGATAGGAAGAGCAGAAAGGAGCAAGTCTGGCTTCTTCCAGCTCGTCGTAGTACGTGAAACAGCCGTGGGTCGTAGGTTAGGCCGTGCTATGAGCGTTTCCCGGTCCCTCACAGATTTATCTGTGGCTGCCAACGAATGCAGCGCCTCAGAACTGGTGCCTGGCTTCCCAAGTAAAGGACAGACCTTCACATCCATCCTGCCTGAGTCTGCGAAGGTTTGTGAACCCCGTCTCTGCTTTTACCTGAGGTCTCTTTCTCTTTGACCAATATTAAATTCACTGTCAGAACTTGCTGACAGTGTTCATGAGTGTTGAAGATTTCTTAGCCCTTTTAATGGTGAAGAGTTTAGGCCTGAAGTCCTTTCCCCAGCAAATCTCCTAGACACACAGGCATGAAAATCAGATTTGAGTTCAGTGGAAATTCTTAATACAAAAGGAATGAGTGAGGGTTAAGCCTGAAGAAAGTAACTGGAATATAAATTATTATCATCACAACCTTTGCATCTTGAAATTTGATGGAATTGCCTTTATGTTCCTTCATGAACATTTTCTGTCCAGGTATGCCAACTCATCGACAGTGGCTGAAATAACAATTTCAATTTGAAAGTTCTTTTCCAAAGCAGGTTGCAATTAAGAAATGCTGCTTATTTACTTAAGTTAAAATTCATTTGACTTCACTAGGTAGAAGCAGCTTTCATTTCATTAGTTCTTGTTCATTACATGACCCAGTGTAATATGCATACTTAATTTGCAAGAGCTCCCTGGGAGTCTTGACATTAGCTATTTCCCTTCTTTCTTACCTCTGAAGCTTTTTCTTTTACCTCAGTAAAAGCACCATCTTATCACTTTTCAGTCTATCTTTTTCTCTTCTCACAGCCAGCAGGACTTTTTTCAGTTGAAGTTTCATTGGTCTTTGCCAGCACACCAGGATATTTATTTTTTATGATCTGCAGTATAACTTGGGACTGGAAAACTGAGGCCTGATCGTTTACTTCTACAAATTTTTGTATGTCTGGAGGAAACACGGTGACACACCAGTTATGGATTTGGGTAACAGGA